AAGAGACTTAAACAAAACATAGTAACATACAATTTGGAAAAAATACAGAACCTAATGTATAAAGTATACACATGATTTAATTCATAATAATGCAGACATTTTTTTAACTAAATTTATCTGAAACTTGCTAATTCTTACTGAGTCTCTAGTAGCCATGCTTACCAGTACCTACCCATCAACACTAGCAATCAGTTTCTATTGACAGCGTTAGCATGTCTGACCTCCTTAATGTCATCTGACATCCTTAATGACATCTGACACAGTACTGAGTCCCAAAGAATGAAATAGAGTTAAACCTCATTCTATTCACCTTTATATGTAGCTTAATAAGAAAGCCATTGCCCTGCAGTGCACAATGACAGATATTTTTCATAGACAGAGCTCAAAAAATATCTGCTTGCTTGTTTTAGGGTAAGCCACAAAAAAATATAACCCTTAAAAGTTAAAAATCAAGATGTATTTAAGTTTATAAGAAGTCTAGTAAAAAAAGCAAAATGTAACAAAATAATTGTATCATCAAATCGCAATGTGAATATCTAGATTTGATTCAGAACATAAACCTGAGCAATCCACTTTATTAAATTGTTTAAAGATGGGTTTCCTTAGTGTCAAATTAAGCAAACTATTTGATTAATTGGTGTTTCTAATCAATTATCATATATTCTTAATCATATCATTATGTTCTTATTGCATATAATAAAGAGTTTTAACCAATCATAAATATCCATGTATGTACAGTCTGGATAAACAAAAAAAGACTTTTTGACTTTCTTGATCGGTCACTCTGTTTCTGCTGGTAATTCTCTTCTAATTTAGCTAATTATGAATTAATTATGGACATGTGAGACAAACTGGTATTTTTCCAAGTCATTAGAACACCTCTACTTTCTATTCATATAAGTATTAGCATTTCATAAATGAAAATAAGGGAACCCATCTTTAAGTCGGATATTGCGTTGATTATTATTTAAATTACCTTAAGATAATATAGTAAACTGCTGGTGTTTATGTTTAGAATAGTAAGATAATATAGTAAACTGCTGGTGTTTATGTTTAGAATAGTAAGATAACATACAATAAATATCTTAGTTTGATTATGATATAATAGAACATAAACATATCTCATGGACAAAAATACACTTTAACAAAAATTAGATTTTAAACACAAAAAGCACAAACCATGGACATTAAAATCACAGATAAACTTATTAAAGCTAAAGTAAATAATAACAAAAAATAAAAATAAAGCTCTGTTAAATAAAAAATTGCACTATTATATTTCAGGGAATTATACTTAAAGACTTCTAGGAGTAATTCCTATGAAAATGGACATTATATGGTTGTCTGGACCGAAACCCAGTTTCTGTATCATCCTATCTGAATATAATGTCTGAGGAACTGGGTAAAAATAGATTTGTGGGGCTTGTTTGGGACTAAATGTTATAACCATATCTTCAACAACAAATTTTTATTGCGAGATTATTAGTAAAAGAGCCAACCAGATCTAAACATGTTTTTAAAACAATTTGTTATGTGTCAAATTTGAAGAAGCTCTCACACCATAGTTATTACTAGTTTGTAGCTCTCACACCATAGTGATTACTAGTTTGAAGAAGCTCTCACACCATAGTAATTACTAGTTTGTAGAAGCTCTCACACCATAGTGATTACTAGTTTGTAGAAGCTCTCACACCATAGTGATTACTAGTTTGAAGAAGCTCTCACACCATAGTGATTACTAGTTTGTAGAAGCTCTCACACCATAGTGATTACTAGTTTGTAGAAGCTCTCACACCATAGTGATTACTTGTTTGTAGAAGCTCTCACACCATAGTGATTACTAGTTTGTAGAAGCTCTCACACCATAGTGATTACTAGTTTGTAGAAGCTCTCACACCATAGTGATTACTAGTTTGTAGAAGCTCTCACACCATAGTGATTACTAGTTTGTAGAAGCTCTCACACCATAGTGATTACTAGTTTGTAGAAGCTCTCACACCATAGTGATTACTAGTTTGTAGAAGCTCTCACACCATAGTGATTACTAGTTTGAAGAAGCTCTCACACCATAGTGATTACTAGTTTGAAGAAGCCCTCACACCATAGTGATTACTAGTTTGTAGAAGCTTTCACACCATAGTGATTACTAGTTTGTAGAAGCTTTCACATCATAGTGATTACTAGTTTGTAGAAGCTCTCACACCATAGTGATTACTAGTTGTGTTTGATTGACATTAAAAATAGCTGTTATAAGTTTCCAATGTAACTCTCATGTAACTGAGTTGGGTTCGGAACTACTAATATTATTGGTAACCATAGGTAACTGGTAATTACGATGGTGTGAAGGTAGTAAAATTTTCAATAGAATTAAATACAACACTTCTACAAATGTTGATAGTTAGTCTTGGAACAAATCAGCAACAAAAGCTTTGATATAATATTTTGGTGCTGAAAACTATGCAGTGATAGAATTATGCAAAAAAAAAATATCACCCAAGGGATAAAATTATTCAAATATTTACTTTATCAGCTGATTGAGCTATCATTAACAGTCTAATTGTTGAACTGTGGTAGGCAGATCTGAAATTGAGTTCTATCAGCTGGTAAAGTAAATATTTAGATAACTTTTAGATTAATAATGGTACTAAGAATTATCATCAATAATAATAATAATAATAATAATAATATCTAATAGATATATTGCATTCTTTTTGCAAAGAGTCAGAAATATAAAATGTTTTAAGACTAGTAGAATGATGTGAGATCTGTGTGAATAGAATATTCTGTTGTCAATTCCTATCTTCTGATCAATGAGTTGTATATAAAAGTAAGAAATAAGGACAAGGAAAGTCGAGATATGGAAATGTAAATTTTATACGTTTAGAATATCATGATGAAAAGAGAAACTAACACCGTAACATAATCGAAAGGAGGCTTACTAATCAGTTGGAAATGTGAGTCAGATTTTTTCATCTTAAATAAGAGGCTTCAAGAGTTCAAACTTTGTTCGATTTAGTGTCAAAAATAAACATTCTTTGTACCGGTTTGTCTTTGGTTGTTTTATAAGGAATTCTGAAATTATTTCTTAGGTATCATAGAATAAGTTAGAAATTAATTTAACTATAGAAACAACAGCTCTGCTTGTGACAGTGTTTCTTTTTATATTTACAGTGTGAAGCATAAAGCACCCCTAATTTTACTAATGAGCTCTTCCAATCATACATATACAGTATCATATTAATAGAAAGTATGCATGGGTAGAAGAGTTCAATAGAAAGTTGAGGGATGTTAAATAGATGACTTCACACTTCATCCAGCCTTGAAGATGTGAAAAGATTAGTGTTTAAGAATAAGTTCTGATGATATAAAATAATGGAATTAGTAGAAGATTTATCAGTAGCAATATACAGGCTCTACTAGGCATTATGATACAAACAGATACAGAGTTATAAATTATCATGGTTTTCATATTGATTACTCTTCTTTAAAGATACCCTCCCACCATAATGATTACCAGTTGTATATGGTTGTAAATAAGAAGAGTAGTTATAAGTTTCAACTCTCATGTAACTGAGTTGTAAGTTGAGTTCGAAACTCTTGACCACTTTCATTATTTATAATCAACTGGTAATTATTATTGTCTGTTTAAACATATTGTAGTTATCTAATTATTATTCTGTTAATTTATCTAGATCTAGTCTAGGAATTATAATCTTAATAAAATACAGATCAAGATGTAGTCAAAATAAAAAAACACAAAATCAAACATTCAGATCAGATTTCAAACCAGATATTTCAATTTAAGTGAAATTAATTTCTGTCAGTAAAGAATAAGACAACTATTGAAGTAATTTTTGGCTACGCTTCGATACAAAATGTTTCGTACAAAATCTGGGCACAACCATAAAAAAGAGAGAGAAGAATGATTTCATTAAAAATGATGACTTTACACCAAATTCACACAAGAAGCCTTAAAAGATTCAGGTGAAGCGTAAAAAATCGGACAACCACAAAAATTCAGCATAATGGAGTTTATATCGTCCAATGAAAAACCACGGATTCTCACACACAATCTTTCTTCTTCTTCGAAACGGAAAAATATTTTCACATTTCATGTTACGTTTTATACACATCATTTTAACGTCTTTTGATTGTTTATAATAAATCATTATTATTTCTTATCACTTTATCATTTTCAACATTTTAATCATCATAGTCATCATTTATTTGCAACATTATTTGCAATCTTTTGCTAATTTTCAAGTAGAATATTTAATATCACATCTAAATCACAATTCTTTACAATAACTTTTCTAAATATTCACAGCAGTCACAAGTAAATCTTGTTTTGAGACACCTCATAAATTTAATTTCATTCAGCTTTTTTCAATCATTAAACTTTGCACAATAATCTGAATTTAAATCATATTGAGAAAACTTTGCAATTATTTCAATTTTATGTCCAACTTTTTTGATTAAATGCTCAATTTCACCTAGAAATCACCTTGACTAGATCTTCATTCAATTCTTCAGTATTTATCAAGTGATGAAATAACGTATCCAGTAATGGTGGAAAAATCACGTATAAATATATCACAAGTATCAGTCTAGAGAATACATAGAGTATAGAACAATTTAAACATAGATCACACTGTACCAGATTTCACCTTTTCCTTGACACGTGAATTCAACGTAAAATAATGTTACAATCAAGTTGTAGTATAGATATCTAGATATGGTTTTAACAGCATCAGATTTTACCAGATTTCTTCTTTTCCTTGATTTGTGTGTGAACGCAGCATTCAACTACTTTCTTACACAGTTCAGATATCTTCTATAGTTTGGTTTTAACACAAACGTTTCTGGGATAGCAAACAAAATCTCTTACACACAAATTTTGCACTGTTTAATTCTTAAATCCAATCAGGTTTCACAAGACTAATGGAAAGGATATCCTGGTCTGGTTTTAACATGAACGTTCCAAGGATAGATAGTTCAGTTCAATCATCACTATAATCTCTTCCCTGTTCTATTCTTTCATCCAACATTCGAAAAAACTCTAATTGACTACCAGTTATTCTGAAAGAGAAAACAAATTGTTTTATCATACAATCAAAACAAATCATCAAGATTCAACAATTTTCTAGGAAAGACTTGTATATAAACTCTTATAAGAATATATAAAGAAAATGAAATGTAGTTCTATCTGCTAGGACAGTGTAATAGCTCTGTCATTCTCGAGTTTGATTGTCGTCTGCTAGGCGATAAAGTGCCTTGGGTTCGAATCCCTCTCAAGGTAACAAAATTTCTAATGTCTATGCCAGTGCTTCTGAGGGTCAGTCTGGTGTCGGCTCTCATCCCCAATACCTAAACTATACTGTTTATAATAGGTCTAATGAAGACAAGCTACTGACACAATACAATGTAGGTTTATTATAAACTATACTGTTTATTATAGGTCTAATGAAGACAAGCTACTGACACAATACAATGTAGGTTTATTATAAACTATACTGTTTATAATAGGTTTAATGAAGACAAGCTACAGACACAATACAATGTAGGTTTATTATAAACTATACTGTTTATAATAGGTCTAATGAAGACAAGCTACCTACACAATACAATGTAGGTTTATTATAAACTATACTGTTTATAATAGGTCTAATGAAGACAAGCTACTGACACAATACAATGTAGGTTTATTCTAAACTATACTGTTTATAATAGGTCTAATGAAGACAAGCTACCTACACAATACAATGTAGGTTTATTATAAACTATACTGTTTATAATAGGTTTAATGAAGACAAGCTGCAGACACAATACAATGTATGTTTATTATAAACTATACTGTTTATAATAGGTTTAATGAAGACAAGCTACAGACACAATACAATGCAGGTTTATTCTAAACTATACTGTTTATAATAGGTCTAATGAAGACAAGCTACTGACACAATACAATGTAGGTTTATTCTAAACTATACTGTTTATAATAGGTCTAATGAAGACAAGCTACTGACACAATACAATGTAGGTTTATTCTAAACTATACTGTTTATAATAGGTCTAATGAAGACAAGCTACTGACACAATACAATGTAGGTTTATTATAAACTATACTGTTTATAATAGGTCTAATGAAGACAAGCTACTGACACAATACAATGTAGGTTTATTATAAACTATACTGTTTATTATAGGTCTAATGAAGACAAGCTACAGACACAATACAATGTAGGTTTATTATAAACTATACTGTTTATTATAGGTCTAATGAAGACAAGCTACTGACACAATACAATGTAGGTTTATTATAAACTATACTGTTTATAATAGGTTTAATGAAGACAAGCTACAGACACAATACAATGTAGGTTTATTATAAACTATACTGTTTATTAAGAAGGAAATGTACTAAAACAGTAGCGTAAGGTATTATATAGGCCAATATTTGTTTTAATCTTCAACTGTTGGAGGTTCAATCATTAAAATGTTCAGAATAGCACTCTTCAAAATCAAATAAAAAAACACAGTTCATGATCTGTTGCTGGCCCAAGCTATCTACCTACACAGTATATAAATATCTCAACCAATCAAAAACAAGGTACTAACCCATTACTGGTCAGAATTTCCCAGATAACGAATATATTGAGTTAGTTTTTTAGGGGAATTTAAAGATATCAATCTGTATGGAAACTACCAGACTAAATTAAGTTGTATCTACTTACTGTACATTAGGTTTATTTCCTGTAAAACTTCGATCTTTAAACGCAGTTTTTGATTTACCCTCCTGAAATAAACAACAAAACAAACTGTTTTATCTAAACACCAAACATTTCAATTACACCACAGACTGTATTTTGGGTACCCTGACTCCAATCTTCCTGGCAATTTGGAGCTAACAATAAATCTATAATTGGTCATTCAATATATCAAGCTATAGACTAAGGTACCAACATAACATTCTATGTTTTTATTTAACAAGATTATTAGTGAAGAATCTAACCAGGGTATATAACTATTGAAATAAAAACAATACTAACATGAAATTTATCAGTTTTGATGCCGTTAGAGTTACCAGATTTAGGTGATTGTGATGAACCATTTAACCATTGAGATTGAGATTTAGTTGGTGAATCTACGCTATCTGGTGATAACTTCTTATTTCCTGTTGATAATTTCTCTTTTTTAGAACTACCACCTTTTGGTAGAAGAGGTTTTATAACACTAGGATCTTTATTCTCTTTCCTATCTGAAATATTTAAAATAGATTTACATTTAGATTATTATAATAGTTTATCATGATTGACTCAGAGTAAGATTAGAAACTTTCAGACAAGTTCCCACAGTTAGATACCACTAGGTTGAAATGATACTATGAGTTGTATCAATCATGTACATCATGTTATATTTGAATTTAAAAAGAGATATTTTATTAATAGTCACTCTGTCTCATCAATTCTCACACAGGAAGATTTTACAATAGGTTAAGGTAGTACCCTCACATTTTTAACCAACTTTCCCCTGTGGGTGATGCTAGACAAAAACAGAGAAAAGGAGCGAAATAGGCTTTGCCTTGATTGATTAACATAAATTATGAAAAACACAGAACACGATTAATACAAAAATTTCGTCAAGGATGGCAGGTGGAGTAAACACTAAAAATTAAGAAAAGGAACATTTTGATCTGTATCTTGGTTGTTTTTTACGAACACATGAGCTTGATAAGAATTAACATAAAGTTTTGGGCGTGTAAAAACACATCATTATAAAACGAAAACAACAATTTAAGGAAAGATGTTAAAAGAGAAAGTAAACAGAAGAGAGTTACCTACCTTGTTTGTTGTTGTTTTTCTTGTGAAAGTTTTCCTTGCTATCAGACGTAGTTTGATCTGAGTCTAGTTTACTAGTGGTAGAGCTATGACGACTCCTTCCACATCCCATCTCACACTGTCCGGCCACTTGTACTCGGACACCTGGTGTTCGTACATCAATGTATCATTATTATCTCTGTTTCCACCTGGAATATATAGACGCGTTAGTTAGACAGAGAGATTTAACATGTACAGACAAGTTATTAGTCAGTTAAGATCAGGCCAGCATGGTGAAGAGCAGAACCTGACAGGTATAGAGACAAGAGACAAGAGAGATTTAAGATGGTTCATTATTATCTCTATTTCCACCTGGAATAGTTAAAACAAATAGTCAGTTATAAGACAAATTACATGGGGATCAGGGCAACCTAGCAAATAGCAAAACTGGAGAACTTTCAACTGCCAGCTACTTAATTAAAGGTATCTGGGAGAATCTGGGAGAGTCACTGAATTTTTAGCACACAGATCAATGAAATTAGTAGTTGTCATCACTTACTCGTGTTTGACCTTCTACCAACACTGTCTCAAGTTACTCTGTGATTTGTTGAACAGTCAGATTATGTGACAGTCGTTATTATATTTCTTTTTTTAAAACTGTATCATAGTAATTAGTTAATCTCATTGTGAAAGTTGTCTGAGATTTTGAGGGTTTCAGATGAAAACTAGGAAAGTGCCAATGATGCCCCAAGGCTTCCTGCTCCATATCAACATTTAGGGACTCTCATACACTTATCCCAAACATTGCTGTCCTTCCTTTAAGCAAAATACTTTAACTAGCTACAAGAAATGTTGGCAAAATAGACTACAGTTATTACATTTTCAGGTTAATATTGTAACTAGCAGTATCTGAGAAATATTGTAACTAGCAGTATCTGAGAAATATTGTGACTAGCAGTATCTGAGAGATATTGTAACTAGCAGTATCTGAGAAATATTGTAACTAGCAGTATCTGAGAAATATTGTAACTAGCAGCATCTGAGAGATATTGTAACTAGCAGTATCTGAGAGATATTGTAACTAGCAGTATCTGAGAGATATTGTAACTAGCAGTATCTGAGAAATATTGTAACTATCAGTATCTGAGAAATATTGTGACTAGCAGTATCTGAGAAATATTGTAACTAGCAGTATCTGAGAAATATTGTAACTAGCAGTATCTGAGAAATATTGTAACTAGCAGTATCTGAGAAATATTGTAACTAGCAGTATCTGAGAGATATTGTAACTAGCAGTATCTGAGAGATATTGTAACTAGCAGTATCTGAGAAATATTGTAACTAGCAGTATCTGAGAAATATTGTAACTAGCAGTATCTGAGAAATATTGTAACTAGCAGTATCTGAGAAATATTGTGACTAGCAGCATCTGAGAAATATTGTAACTATCAGTATCTGAGAAATATTGTAACTAGCAGTATCTGAGAAATATTGTACTAGCAGTATCTGAGAAATAATGTAACTAGCAGTATCTGAGAAATAATGTAACTAGCAGTATCTGAGAAATAATGTAACTAGCAGTATCTGAGAAATATTGTAACTAGCAGTATCTGAGAAATATTGTAACTAGCAGTATCTGAGAAATATTGTAACTAGCAGTATCTGAGAGATATTGTAACTAGCAGTATCTGAGAAATATTGTAACTATCAGTATCTGAGAAATATTGTAACTAGCAGTATCTGAGAAATATTGTAACTAGCAGTATCTGAGAAATATTGTAACTAGCAGTATCTGAGAAATATTGTAACTAGCAGTATCTGAGAGATATTGTGACTCAAACAAAAGATATATTCTCAGAAGATTTAAACACGTTTGTTCGGTTACAAAATCCCCGTCTTCGAGAGGGAAGCAATTTTATTGGCTGGAGGTGTCATCAGACTGATGAATTTTCAAGATACCTGTCTTTGGACCCTAATTCAAGTGGCTAAATTAAAAATAAGAGGAAATAAAAAACAGAAATAAAGTTTGGCGTAATTTGAATTAGACTGCAAATTATCTCATAGATAACAGCTGAAAAACCAAGAAGAGAACCAACAAGGCTCTAGACTGTTGTGTTCTCACCTTTTAAACTCTTATTGTGCTATTTCCACATTAAGAGGTCTCTCGTACCCCCTCGCTGTCTGATAAACATGATGACAGGACATTTAACACTTCAATAAAAGACGTGAAATGGTAAAAAAGACAATAGAGGTTTTAATAAGAAGATGATATCAGAGCTGAGTATAATGAGTAAATATAAACTGAGTATAATACCTCTATATAATCTCAGACGTGATAAACAACGTTTTAACCTCGTTATCAGACACTAATTAACCCAATAAATCGTTAAAACAATTCATTATTAGCATCTTATAAACTACTCTAATAATAATCATCAGCATATTCTCAGATAAATTCCAATTGTTAAATCTATTATTGTATAATAAAGAGTTTTTTTTAATGACAAGATATTGAATTTATGTCTGAAATAAATATTCTATATGACATGTTAGATTTAAAGAGATTGTTCTAAAATTTGTATGTGTTTCGGGGACATTGATAGCATCAATTTACATCATTCTAATTTTCAATCAGACGTCTGTGTTTTCTGTAATTTCACAAAAACTAACAGTTTGACGACGTCACTTTGATACCATTCAGATTTTTAATTAGATGTCTGTGGTTTAGTGTTTGATGACGTCACTAATTGTAAAATATGCTTTAAAACTAATTGATGTCATTATCATACCAAGTTTTTGTAAAAATTTGTTAAAAACTGAAGGAGCTATAGTATTTTCAACTCATGATATCACAGAATGAAATATAAACAGATGCAAGGAAAGACCAACTATTATAAATTACTAAAAATATACATCAACATTCAAAAATACAATTTCTTAATACATATTGTATATTATATTCAAGATTAACAGCAATTAGTTATAAACATCTTAGAAATCTTTTAGCACTTCTTTACAATGTCAAACTATTACCAACTTTGTAATTATACCTTGACTGCAATAGCCACTGTTCTTGTATCAGATACTGGATTATACAGCCCTGATTACACCTGCAGACAAATTGTGTAGAGTGCTCTGATTGGCTATAATCCAAAAAAATCCCCAAAAAGTTGGCTATTGCAGTCAAAATTTAAATATACAAGATGAAGTTTGTAATAGCTTGACATTGTGAAGATGAAGTTTGTAATAGCTTGACATTGTGAAGATGAAGTTTGTAATAGCTTGACATTGTGAAGATAAAGTTTGTAATAGCTTGACATTGTGAAGATGTAGTTTGTAATAGCTTGACATTGTGAAGATGAAGTTTGTAATAGTTTGACATTGTGAAGATGTAGTTTGTAATAGCTTGACATTGTGAAGATGAAGTTTGTAATAGCTTGACATTGTAAAGATGAAGTTTGTAATAGCTTGACATTGTGAAGATGAAGTTTGTAATAGCTTGACATTGTGAAGATGTAGTGTGTAATAGCTTGACATTGTGAAGATGAAGTTTGTAATAGCTTGACATTGTGAAGATGAAGTTTGTAATAGCTTGATATTGTGAAGATGTTTTAAAATATTCTCTAGTTTATCTCTACGCTGTTATCAATTGCTAAATCTTTCAGTGTTATTGCACAAGAGTTGTTATGTTTTAATAAGATATTGAAATTCTTAATGAGAAGTTATATCATATTACAAATAGAATTTAAAATATAGTCTAGAATTCAATAATCTCAACTTTTCAAACTTTCAGGGTTTTATTATTCTTTCCTTTTTATAATACCCTATAATACATAAATAAACATCTTTACATCCTTAACAAATGTTTTTCAATAGTATTTCTAAAGTTAAACAAGGAGTAGGCCATTTCTAATCACTTCCCTCCACTCTCTACCCCCTGAATTGAAGTCTAGGATTTAATGATCTGAAACATTTATTTACTTGCGGGTACACCATACAACACACTTAAGAAATGTTTCTCAGTGCATTCCCTATCAATCTCCACCCCCACACCCAATAAACCTATTTTGAATTACTTTCAATAATATGAATTTAGATATGGAAGTATTTGTAATATGAGATCACCATTATCACATGTGTAAAAGCGTAATGTAAATGTATATATATATGGTGTTATTTTTGAGATACGAGATAGATATTTAAGTTAGATGTTTTCTTCCTAATAAATATATCAAATGACATAATATAAAGATAAATGCCTTTTTTGGCACAAAATATTCGTTATGTCCACATATTTTAATAATAATAACTTTAATAACTTTTTTTAAGTCTGAAATATTAAATCTATATATTTACATTAGCTATTATTTTTTCACAAAATATAATATCACAATAAACACCATTGCCTCATCACCAAAACATTAGGCGTAGTAATTTTAACCAATGACATCGTTATTCATTGACGTCATTATTTCAAATATACGGTCTTCAATGTAAACGTAAAGAAATAGTCCCTAACGTTGAAACGTAAAGAAATAGGCCCTACTTAAATTCATACTAAAGTATTTGTATCAAAATTAGAATGTCTTGAAAACGTAAATATAAGCTAACGTGCATTTATTCAATTTTCCAGCCAACCTTTGACCTGATACACAACCTTTACTACCATAGGATAACAGTTAATTGTTTAAATAAAATATATTTTGTGACAAAAAAAAAGCATTTATCTTTATATTATCTATTTACCAACCTTCATCAGAATATTTCATGTTTTAACTAAGCATCAGAATATTTCATGTTTTAACTAAGCATCAGAATATTTCATGTTTTAACTAAGCATCAGAATATTTCATGTTTTAACTAAGCAACAGAATATTTCATGTTTTAACTAAGCAACAGAATATTTCATGTTTTAACTAAGCAACAGAATATTTCATGTTTTAACTAAGCAACAGAATATTTCATGTGTTAACTAAGCATCAGAATATTTCATGTTTTAACTAAGCTATTATGAATATTGGTTTAATTGGTATATCTGAACCAGAACATTGAACCACAGATGTTGTATATAGTTATCATCTGCCAAGGGACTTGTTTAACAGAATATCATAACAGATATACTCATATCTCTTT